ATATATATATATACATATATATATATATGTGTGTGTGTGTGTGTGTGTGTGTGTGTGTGTGTGTATGTGTGTGTGTGTATGTATGTAAACAATATATTAACAAATATTTAACCTAAATACATTAGCGAACACTCTAGTTTAAACTGTTAAATCAGCTTAACTCATTACAACCAACAGTACAGTGTCTCCATATTTGTTTTGATCAATCAGAATACATTGTTATTATATTATTATTACTAAATTTACTTTATTTAATTACTTTATTAAATTATTATTAGTATATTTACATAAAAAAAATGCTGAGTTTTTTCAAAACCAGATCAAAACTTCAATAGATTTCATTTGTAGGTATCAGAAAAGACTTGCATGAGAAATAGATTCACTAACATCACATGCAATATCCATATAAATCAATATTTTACTGTTGCCCATGTACATAAACAAGTATGTGTGAAATAAAGATGCACAGTTAGTTTGCTGCATGCATGCATGCATATGTGTGTGTGTGTGTGTGTGTGTGTGTGTAATGTGAGAGCAGGTCGAGTTGTTCACCTCACACGTGTTTTCCATCCTGCCCGGCAAACTGAAGCGGCTGAAGTGCTGCTTTACTCCAAATAGACTCTTCTCTTCTGACTGACTGACTGTGTGTGTGAGTGTGAGAGAAACTCATTCAGCAGAAGTGCCTCTGTGTTTCTCCTCCTCCATATGAACTCCAGTCTCAGCACAGGGGGAGGAGCAGATCTGAACCTTATCTTCACACTCAAACTGAAGGTGTTCAAGCATACACCTATAAGGGTTTTACTGAGATAATGCTTGTAGATTTCAGAAACCATTCAAAAACATAACATGGAGTTTCATAAACAAAGTTTAAAGGAGTCCTATTGTGCAAAAATCCCTTTTATACGAGGTTTAAACAGTTGTGTGGCAGCAGTGTGTGTATAACAAGCTTCTAATGGTAAACATTTATTAATTGTATGTTTTTTTATAATCAGTCTTGATAAAACAGTCTGCAGAAACACTTTGATTGACATTCTCCCTTTGTAGGTGTCATCAGAGAGGGAAAACCCCGCCTACTAGTGACCATCTCTCCCTCATTATATACCTGCCAAAACTCCTGTTTTTCCCGGAAGTCTCTCTCGCACTTCTCCCGTATTGTTCTGTCTCACAGAAAACTATTGGGATTCGACCAAAACCCCAACGCCCCCTACCCTGATGGGTAGACAGATGGATGAATGGCTAGATAGACTCATGGATGGATGGATGGATGGATTGATGGATGGACTGATAAATAGACAGATGGATGAATGGATAGACTGATGAGTAGACAGATGGATTGATATACTGAGACAGATAGACTGATGGACGGATGGTTGGGTGGATAGACTGATGGATAGACAGAGATGGATGGATGGACAGATGGTTAGACAGATGGAAGAATGAATGGATGGACAGATGGATGAATGGATGGATGGATGGATGGATGGATGTATAGACAGTCAGATGGATAGATGGATGAATAGTCTGATAGATGGATGGATGGATAGACAGTTGGATAGATGGATGGATAGACAATCGAATAAATGGATAGATAGACAGTCGGATAGATGTATGGATGGCCAGTCGGATAGATGGATGGATGGATGGATAGACAGTCGGATAGATGGATGGATGGATGGATAGACAGTCGGATAGATGGATGGATGGATAGACAGTCGGATAGATGAATGGATGGATGGATGGATAGACAGTCGGATAGATGGATGGATGGATAGACAGTCGGATGGATGGATGGATGGATGGATGGATGGATGGATGGATAGATGGATGGATAGACAGTCGGATAGATAGATGGATGGATAGACAGTCGGATAGATAGATGGATGGATGGATAGACAGTCGGATAGATGGATGGATGGATAGACAGTCGGATAGATGGATGGATGGATAGACAGTCAGATAGATGGATGGATGGATGGATGGATGGATGGATGGATGGATGGATGGATGGATGGATGGATGGATGGATAGACAGTCGGATAGATGGATGGATGGATAGACAGTCAGATAGATGGATGGATGGATGGATGGATGGATGGATGGATGGATGGATGGATGGATGGATGGATGGATGGATAGACAGTCGGATAGATGGATGGATGGATAGACAGTCGGATAGAAAGATGGATGGATGGATGGATGGATGGATGGATGGATGGATGGATGGATGGATGGATGGATAGACAGTCGGATAGATAGATGGATGGATGGATGGATGGATAGACAGTCGGATAGATGGATAGATGGATAGACAGTCGGATAGATGGATGGATGGATAGACAGTCGGATAGATAGATGGATGGATAGACAGTCGGATAGATAGATGGATGGATAGACAGTCGGATAGATAGATGGATGGATAGACAGTCGGATAGATAGATGGATGGATAGACAGTCAGATAGATGTATGGATGGACAGTCGGGTAGATAGATGGATGGATAGACAGTCGGATAGATGTATGGATGGACAGTCGGGAAGATAGATGGATGGATAGACAGTCGGATAGATAGAGGAATAGACAGTCAGGTAGATGGATAGATAGTCGAATTTATGGATTGATAGACAGTCGGATAGATAGATAGACAATCAGTCGGATAGATGGATGGATATACAGTCGGATAGATAGATAGATGGATAGACAGTCGGATAGATAGATGGATGGATAGACAGTCGGATAGATAGATGGATGGATAGACAGTCGGATAGATAGATGGATGGATAGACAGTCGGATAGATAGATGGATGGATAGACAGTCGGATAGATAGATGGATGGATAGACAGTCGGATAGATAGATGGATGGATAGACAGTCGGATAGATAGATGGATGGATAGACAGTCGGATAGATAGATGGATGGATAGACAGTCGGATAGATAGATGGATGGATAGACAGTCGGATAGATGGATGGATGGATAGATAGGCAGATAGATAGATGGATGGACAGACAGTCGGATAGATGTATGTATGGCCAGTCGGGTAGATAGATGGATTGATAGACAGTCGGATAGATAGAGGGATAGACAGTCAGTTAAATGGATAGATAGTCGAATTTATGGATTGATAGACAGTCGGATAGATAGATGGATAGACAGATAAATAGATGCATAGAGAGTCAAATAGATGGATGGATAAAGAGACAGTAGGATAGATGGATGGATGGATGGATAGACAGTCAGATGGATGGATGGTCAGATGGTGCATGAATGGAAATACAGTATTTACAGTATATAATATCCTCCATGACGGCTGCAGCTCAGGCAGTCAGAGTGTTTCTGCAGCTGTGTGTGTGTTCTCTTCAGTCTTAGTGAGTCTGTGTGTGTGTTAGTAAACATGTGTTTGAGTAGATTTGAATGTGTTAGTGATTTGCTCTGTATGTGTGTGTGTGTGTGTGAGTGAGTGAGTGAGACTCCAGCCTCTGGTGTGTGTGTGTGTGTGTGTGTTTTCTTGTAATGTGATACAGGGTGTTGTCTACAGTCTTCCTTCCCGGAGGAAATGTTTCCTCAAACGCAGCTCTCGGTGACGGACACCGCTCGCCTCTCTGACGGACAGCACTGAGGTTTATCATTCAGCTCCAAGATTACAACACACTGAAAGTTCATCCTGGTTCATGCAGTGCAGTTCAACACACGCACTTTACACACACACACTCCTGAAACACAGGCTAGAGACTCTTCTGCTTTATGTCATGTGATCTTTTTATTGATGTTTTATTATTGTTTGATCAGGGTGGCTCAGTGGTTAGCTCTGTCGTCTCACAGCAAGAAGGTTGCTGGTTCGAGTCCCAGCTGGGTCAGTTGGTATTTCTGTGAGGAGTTTGCATGTTCTCCCCTTGTTGGCGTGGATTCCCCCACAGTCCAAAGACAGGCAGTATAGGTGAATTGGATGAACTAAATTGGTCGTAGTGTGTGTGTGTGTGTGTGTGTGTGTGTGTGTGTGTGTGTGTGTGTGTGTGAGAGAGAGAGTTTCCCAGTACTATGTTGTGGCTGGAAGGGCATCTGCTGCATAGAAACATATGATGGAATAGTTGGCGGTTCATTCCGCTGTGGCAACCCCTGATAAATAAGGGACTATGCTAAATGAAAATGATCTAATACAGTTAATATCACACAGTGCATTTCTGATGAGCTGACAGGCCTGTTATGAATCTGGCGGAGTATAAATATTTGAGCTGCTCTGTCAGGTATTGAGTATCATGTGGAAACAACAGTTCAGGCATTGGGTTTCTGACCGCGGCTCATTCACTCCTGCTCTCAGACTCAGTTTCTGACCGCTTTATTTCAAGATGATAAACGGCTGAAAGAGAAAAGATATTCGTTCAGTGACAACTTGTGACGTGCTCCCTATATTGTTTACCATTATACTTTGAATATTCAGTCTGAAATCACATTTCAAAATAACATTAGCACTATTCATTTATATGACTGTGATCAATGTTGTGTTCTGATAGTCATTAGCTACTAATTTGATTTCCCTTCCCAAAGATTAGTTTTCTAAAATTAAATTATTAGGGTGAACGTCTGAATGTGTGAATATAAAACCAACTTTACCTCAATAGAGAAAAGTAATAGAAACAAATTAAATATTATTAGTAGTTTATATTTAATTGTTAAAAAAAGACTGAAATAAAAACAAAACTAGGCTATATTTTATTTATTTATAGACTATATTTATTTATATTCAATTTAACTATTTATATTTATAAACTATATTTAATATAAAATTTTTAATTTTAAAAACTTCTATCTTAAATAGAAATATTTATTGTGAAATATACAATATCATAAAAAATTACAGATTTTTTAAACTGTGCAGAGTTGTAGCTGCTTTACTGGGCCTATTACGCTATACTATATTTCAATACTGCTCATTTTAGTGGTACTTGGAGAGACAGTTTTTTTCTGAGGAGGTACTTGATGAAAAAAGTTTGAGAACCACTGATGATTTGTTCCTGTGTAGAATATACTTGTTATTCCAGATAGGCGTATTGTGTTGTGTAAAATTGTGTGTGTGCGCTAGTTTCCAAGACAGCAAGACTTGTTGGTGGAATGCTGAAAGCTTCACTGGGGAGTTTAGGCAAGTCAAAGTCACATCTGAGAAGAAATCGGATGCCACCCAGTATGTTAAACAAGGCACAAGGAACAGTGTACCAAAAACTCTCAGTAATACTCAAAAACCTTTGAAGCCATTTAAGTTTTAATAAATAATACGCATGGCGAGCGACCAGCTGACACGTGACGTCACCACGCCAACTTCCGCGTTCATGTGTCAGACTCGGTGGCGGACGGAAGAGAGCAGAAATCATGGCTCTTGCATTCAGTGATGAGGAGTTTCAGCAGGCGTGGACGGAGCTGGACGAGCCGCAGCTGGACGGAGGATGGGAGTTTTTCACCGAGACCATGAACGTCAAGATCTACCGACTCTACAACAAGGTGAAGAAAAGCAGCAGCAGTGACATCACGCGACCGACCATAACACATTGCAGTTCAACACCACAGTTATGGATAACAGTGCAATATTGTTGACTTTATTAAGTCCTGCAAAATATCGCGGCATAATTTTTATTAAATGTATGTCATGTAGTATTTATCGTAATATGTATGTATAATGTAACATACATAGTAAATAATCATTATCTCAAACTGACCGCAAAAACACCAGTCCCGCGTAAATGCTGTTTCATAAGTCAAGGGTTCCCAAACTTTTCAGCACGTGACCCCTAAAATAACAATACCAGTGACTCGCGACCCCAATATCCCCTGAGGTGGTTATAAATACAGAAAACTTGCATGCAATGACGCGCACACACACCAATAGACCAAAGTCTATTCTTTGTTTTTTGTTTTTTTATGTATTTCAGTGCTGTAAATGGGCCAGAAAGTTTAACCTGGTGTTATAAAATCAATCTGCTGCATCTGACGCTATTGCTGTGTCTTTAATATAATGTATTTACCCCAGGGGTCGCAATCCAATAGAACAAGTAAATAAGCTACTATAGTAACTATAAACGACTGTTTTTTTCTCTTCAGTTGGTTATGGATAAAATATGGTAATTCTTATGGCCTAATAATAATAAGTAGATTTTTGGAAATCACCAGGCGACCCCCCCTTCATTGTTCCGCGACCCCTCAAGGGGTCCCGACCCCCACTTTAAGAACCACTGTCATAAGTAACTTCGAGGAGACAACAGGGCTAGCTTAGTGCATTTTAATTGGCTATATGTGTAGTCATGAACTACACAATAAAACTTTTACAATAAATTTTTCACAAGCATATGTGTCTTTCAGATTTTTTATTCATTTTGTTAGCTCAAGCTGGATTTATATTTTTATATTGTATTAGGGATGCCACAAATACGTTTAATATTGGACCGTAAGTGATTAATGATGTGTTGTATTTTGCTTGTTGAGTTTTTTTCTTTTCTTTTTTCATTTTTAACGAACATATCATATACCGCACCGTACCCAAACCATTACTTTAAACTGAAAACCAAACTGAAACGTAATGTATAAATTCTGTATTGTTGCATCACTTTTAATAATGTATAATGTGCATAAAACTATAAAATCACAATCATATAATCATATAAAATACCTGTTTAAACATAGACAGTACACATGTATATGTACATAAAAACAAAATTATTTTCTTCGATATGATTAATTGCGAATAATCGTTTGACAGCACTAACATATTTATTAATGAGATATATTTATTAAAATAATATTTTAGTCACCAAACATATTTAGAAATTGAAAGGTAATATTTTGGTTTGACAAGCCGCGTATAGAAACACGCTCTTTCATCACTCTGACACTTTAATTGCAGTTTTGCACATTTGCACCGGACACTTTCTTATAATCATTCCATATCTTAAAAAAAAGTCTCACACAGGTGAGTTTGACAAACCACCTGTAGAAACACTGTTCTCTATATATTTAAAAAAAAATCTCGCACTTACGAATAAATTGAAGCAAAATATTGCAAAATTAAGTTACAACCTACAAAATTTCAACTAAATCTTTCAATTACTTTTTTTTATTATTATTATTTAATTTCTTCTTCTTATTTTTTTATTTGTATTTAATATTTTTCTATAACATACATTTGGCTGTACTTGTTTTTGGACTGTTATTGTAAATTGTTTTGTTAGATAAGCTCCATATTTGGAGCTGCGGCCTCGTGCCAACGCACGCCTCCCACCAGTGCCGATATACAGCCATATCGCACTTCTACTCAAGTGATATTGCTCATATATATATATATATATATATAT